TAAGGAAAGAAACATTGAAGATGCATGGAAAAACCAAACAGGCATGTATGTATGGTGCAATCATCAGGATCTTTATTTAAGTATGCAGTTAATTTCATTTATGAAGTAATTCACAATTACATTATGTTATTATTTTATACATACCTATGGCATATTGTACCTGTGTTTTATCCTAGTAGTCCTACTCTCCTAGTCCAAATCCAAACTTAATATTAAGTATTATAAAAACGAAGGTAACTCTGTCTATGAGTCTGTCTTTTCTTGACGCCTAAACCACTGCACCTATTTCTGTGAAATTTGGTACAGACATAGTTTGGAACTCGAGAAAGGACATAGGATAGTTTTTTAAACAAAAATCTGCAGGAAATCACTATTCCACGCGAACAAAGTCGCTGGCAAAAGCTAGTAGTAATGTTATAAATGTGAAAGTTTCTGAGAATATATGGATGTATGTTTCTTATTTTTTTACGCAAAACGGTTGAATCGATTTGGTTGAAATTAAGTATGTAGATAGGTCAACTGGAAACGAAAGGTATTTAGTAGGTAATTAGCTATAAACGTCGTGCAATTATTATAAGTGTCCATTCATAAAATAATTACGTAAAAAGTTATTGGGAATATGTTTTATTGTGTATCGTTAGTTTTTCCCATGACCTTCTCCTTAGAAGTTATGTAGGTATGTTGTGATATGTGTGTGTATATAAATGTAGATACGTAGGTTTTTATTTTTATTCATATAAAGTAGGTACCATAAATGAGTCATCTTTTATTGAGTACAAATTCATCGATTTTTTATACGCCTTGATAGTTATACTACAACAATTACTAATTAATTAAATAGTAAAACATTAATTTAGTGTCAGAAATAACTATTTTTGAAACCAATCTACTTTTAAGGGACAGAACCAATGTACCCACTTGAAAAACATTGTACATTAATAAACATAATTCACACACTTAAAACTTATCATCAATTATCCTGATGTCTTCGTAACAAGTGCATACACACAGTCTAACGTAGGTAAACGTGTCTTATAGACTATTTACAGAAGCACTTAGCATTAGCGGAAGCTAACAAACTCTTTTTTACAACCTCCTCAACTCATTAAGCATTTAAAAAAAGAATACTTATTATGTATTCCATATTACTACGTACATCTGTAACTAGTTTTCATTTGACTTCCTACACTACACAACCGAGTTATCCCTACCCTACTCCATCTGCCCTACACAACTTACCCTACCTGACCTACTCAACCATACCCTACACTACCTACCCTACCTTGCCTACTCTACAAGACTACAATATCCTATGTCATTTTTCCAGTTCTTAGCTACCTCCCTACCAAATTTCAGCAAAAATCGGTTCAGACGTTCTTGAGTTATGAATAGTGTAGATAACTAACACGACTTTCTTTTATATACATAAATTACGTTTACACATTAAATTAGCGTTTTTAAAATACGAGTCTAACGTAACAAAAGCTGTTAGTTTAAAACAATTCCTAGTTTTACCAGTTAACGTTTAATGTCTGGTTAACCTTAACAATGCGGTGGCAGTAAACTTCCAAGTAGTTTTTATTAAGTATTTTAATATCACACAACTCGTGCTATACACTTTCTCTCTCAGTTCCCCTGTTAGACAGAATATTACATAGAATTGTTTCCGAGAAACTTTACCTATATGCTATGTATGTATGTGCATATTTCCCACGGTTTTCTCTTATATCCTCGTGACAAAATAACGTTGTAAATTAACTATAGCTACATGTAATAAATACGTGCACTAGATATTTATAGAATAGTTATTTATATTAATGGAACGTCAAAGCCTAGTAACAGTTGTAATCTGCAATTAAATAATATGTTAAGTGGTATGTAGGTTACGTAGCAATGTGTAATGTGATTATTTTAAAATAATTTTACATGTTTTGTCATACATATGGAATTATTCTGTTTATTGTACATTTATTATTAATAAATTCTGTTGCGAAGCAAATAAATAGCATTTAGATGTAGATAACTATAATTTTCCTATTAAATAATATAAATTTTATTCCAATAATGTAAAGCATTTATTTTATTTATTTTTAAGTAACAATAAACCAAAAACAATCGTTGTATTAAATTATTTATGAATGCAAAGAAACAGGGGAATACGCTAATGTTATGATGCGATGCGCGTGCGCAATTCTAGTTCTGTTTCCCTTCATTGAATTGGTAATAAGTTAATTGTTTAGCTGACGTCCGGTGTAGTGCATGTCGTGGCTAGCCATGACGCTACCTTAAGACCTAGTAGGTACCTACTTAAGTAATAATAATAATAATCATCATCATCATCATCAGCCTATAAGTGCCGACTGCTGAGCAAAGGCCTCTTCTCGCACGGAGAAGGTTTGATCATGAACCACCACGCTTGCTCAATGCGGGTTGGCGATTTCATACTTATAATAAGAAATTATAAGTCCAGGTTTTCTCACGATGTTTACCTTCAGTCAGTGGTGTCTAAATTATCATAAAGTACATATAGCTCGGAAAAAGTCACATTGGTACTTGCCAGGTTTCGGATCCACACCCTCATGCATGAGAAGTGGGCTCCTTAAACTTGGGGCCACCACGATCTTATTAGGTCTTATTTATTAAGTAATAAGCCTAAGTACTTCGGAAATTATTACTTGAATCATTTGGACAACCCCACCCGGAATCTTGATACCTAAACGTAGGGTCAATATATTGAGAAAGTCAGGAACGAAAACTGACTGTACTAAACTGGATCTTACTGCAACTGTTTACCTGCAACCTGCATAAATTAAATTAACTGCTGATCGAAGAAGTGCAGTGTGCATACTTGGCAGTACTTTTGACAGCATTGTTGACGTGTAATTTATTTAATCCGAATTGTGACATTAGTAATTACGAATATGTTTTCGGGAGGGAATAGGTAAAAGATTTGTTTTGATATTCGAAATCCATCAATAATCAAGTTTATTTTAGATAAATAAGATTCATAATTGATTGTATGGTCCGAAACTGAAAAACTTATTAGAATAAACATATTTATTATGGTAAAAGCTTAAGGGTTTGTTTGGTCACGCTAATCGTAGGAAATGATGGTTTGAACTGAAATATCGTTTTGTGTTCGAAAGTCAATTTATCGAGAAAGCAAATATATCTTTATGTCTTAAAACATCACACTGTGATCAGTTGGAGACTGACAACAGGGAAAACATCAAATAGCTATTAAGAAATAAAATTAAATAATAAAAAAAAATCATCATAATCATCAGCCTATATGTGCCCACTGCTGAGATCACCACGCTTGCTCAATCGGGTTAGCGATTTCAAACTTATAATTAGAAATTATAAGTCCAGATTTCCTCACGGCGTTTACCTTCACCGTATGTCAGTTGTGTCTAAATAATCATAGAAAGTGCATACAACTCGTAAAAAGTTACATTGGTACTTTACGTTTCGAACCCAAACCCTCATGTATGAGAAGCGGGCTCCTTAACCACCGGGCCACCACGACACGACAAAAAAAAAATTCAAAATATCGTTATTAACAATTATATTACTTTAAAACCTACTTGTAAGCTACATATTTTAACAAATCATTATAATAAATGATTATTATGATGATTTGTTAAAATATGTCCGAACCTAAAAGCTATAGAAAAACGAGTGTTTGTTTACGGTCTTGTGCCTACAATACAGTGGCACACATATTGACGGCGCTTGCGCAACTATTAGATAATGTCCTCTCGACTTCGCACATTCTAATGGGAGAGTACGTCGTCTAAAACAATTGAACCTTGAAACGTTGATAAAAATATAAATAACTGAATAGACTATTCCATTCCATTGATGTTCGTGATTTTCAAATTGTTACGATTTAGTTCAAGAACATCTGTCTGTATGCATGTATGCACGTCTATGGGATGTAGGTAAACATATGGTACTCTTGGAACTTATGTAAGTGCAAATAAATTGTATAAATACATAAATAAAACGTACAACAAAACGAACCAGCGAGTCTATTGTAAAGCCAAGTTTTTTCTATTTTCAATCTATTCATAAAACCGTCGCATTGTTACTCTCGTATTGTCTTTTAAAATCGATTTTATCGAGTCTGCTAAAAGCAAATCGATTAATAAATAAATGTAATAGATACCGATTCTGACAAGCACGTAATAAATTACTTGTTCGATTTTTAAATATATTTTGTAACTGATGTACATTATAGATTAACAGTATAATACTTAGGTTATCTTCTTCCTATTTAAATTACTGTCCCTACGTAAAATATAGATAAATAAAAAATATTTAATTCATATCCTTAAATGATATTAGTTTATCAATTCTATTTTAAACTACAATTAACAATTTAAATAAAATTAAAGAACATCTCGTTCTAAATTTAAAATAGGATCACTGTTCAAATTGGTTTGATTAAACATCTGTTTTTATCCAATCACTGTTCTTTTTGATCGTTAAAGTAAATATAATAAGTAATTTTTATGTAAATATAAACGTCGTTCTTTCGTCTGGTATTTAGAAGTTATACTTCACATTTATTTCAAATTGGACTAAATAATTTGCCTCTAATTAATATGAATCTAAAACTAGTCTACCTTACCTATGTATATTGTACAATTTATAACATATTTATACAAACTATTATTTTGTATTGGTATTATTGGCTATGCTTTAAATTATAAAAAAAAAACAAGTAAATATAACTAATATCCAACTGTAAATTTTTCGTATTTATTCGATTCACAATTTTAATTATATGTACCCATGTACTTATATCACCGAAACTAGTAATTAAATATGTATATATTATACACATATGTTTAAAAAATACCAAAACAATGTATTCACATTTATTTTTTAATTTGGTCATTTGAATATTCAATTAAAAACTTGACCTTATTTTAAAAAGTTGTTTGGTGTACGAATCATTGAAATCTAAATAAAAAAATATTGGTGGTACTCACTCTGAAGGTATTCCACATTTTCTTGGACTTCAGGCACCAAGTGCATGAAGGTTGTAGACAGCAGGACACCACCACCGAAAGAAAGCAGGGTCATTACGACCCTGTTGGTAGTTTTAAGGTTTCCTGCATCTTCAACCGAAAGCCAGTTGAACTTCTTAGCCAGTAGCAATGGTGCAAGACCACAGATCATGGAAGCACAGAAGAGGACGATCATGGACACTCCCTTGGCCAGGACTACACCCTCTGTATCTTCTTCGCCATGGCGTAAGATCACATCCACATGTTCCAAAGACATTTTGGCACAAAAGTTACTTTGTTCTGTGGTACACCAAAGACCGACCTACTCGAGGAACAAGCGTGTAAGTGGGTTGCGGCAAGGGCGCCTACCCTTTTATACGGCAGCGTGGATCGTATCGTATCAGCGATTTGCGCGTGCGCCGTCGAAGAGCGACGCGCTTGTACTATGCGCACCGCCGGCCGGCGTCGCAGTTCGTTCCACTCCCGCGCAGACTCCCGCGCTTGCAGCACAGCCTTCAAACTTAGCGCACCGTTCGGGTATAACGAAATAATACTTGCGCGTGCGCTGTCAAATATTTTGATATTTTAATTATTGCTCTGACATTTCGCGCATTCCAATAATTTGTTTTACTACCGTGTTTAATGGTGTTCGTCTTATTTTTATGTGACTATTGTGTAGCGGACATAACGTAATAAATAATTACCTTTACTTAGATAAATCATAAATAAATCAGTGAAAAGTTATTGCCAAAGATATTCTAATACTTCAGCTATGCTATTTGTCTATTTTTTATTGATTAATTGGTGCTGAATACCTTGAACCGATTTTGTTAAGTATTATTTTTTTAAAAGGGTGGTTCCAGCAGTAATCTTGGTTAACAAATACATATCGTGATAAAATCGACTCAACCTTGCTGTCTGTCATAGCAAACAATGGAAAACATTGTGTGTCTCAAGAATTTTCACCAAACAAAGAATTATCCTCAAATTGAAGGCGAGAAGAAACGCCTTGGTGACTCCGATTGACATTGCAAACATACTATCGTACTTAAAAAAGGTTTTATTTTGAGATATCGTTACATTCTTGAAACTTTACAACTATTAAGTACAGATTTTTCCGCAATTTATTTTTCGTTTTCTTTTTTTTTTAGCTGGTTGAAATTGTGACGCGATTATTTTTTATCGATACTTTCGATAATTGTATAAGGCTATTTCTAGTATAGATAAAATGCGATATTTTTCTGTGAAAATAGAACATACAACAGACGCATTTAAATATTTAAATGGTTTATTAAGTCAATATAGCACCCAATTTTCGCCAGATAAAGACTAAGCCTATGCCAGGCACAATTCGGTCTCAGCGCTACGATAAAAATAACTAATAGGCACGTCTGAAGATTACCGCTTTTATGAAAATACAACTTATCAAATTTTGTTTTCAACGTTATAAAATCAATTAATATAAATCTCATTTTTTATAAATAATAAATAAGAATTTAATTAGTTCGATAAGGTTAATCAATTAAGATTTCCTCGTTTTATACCTGACTTTAGTTACATTAATTTTTATTTCCGCTTCAGTTTGTAACCGGCCTCGCCAAATGCTACGGAACTTACTTTTGCTCTGCAATTGCACTATCGTAGATAATTTAATGTGCTTTGGAAATGTTAGGAACTAACTTAAATACGGAATTCATAAAATATTTAAAAAGACAAAAGACCACAAAGGTACAACAAGACATACCTGAAACTATGTAAATGCTTAGATGCATTTCGAAAAAAATTTTTTTTGTTTACTTTATTTTATACATGAATTACCTTTATAGATAAGCATTTATTTTGAATTTCGAAATTTACTAAAAAAAAAACTAACAGTCGTAGTTAGCGGAGCGTTCGTAGCAAATTGGCTACGCCATCTTCGTCGTTTAAATATGTGTTTCAGCCGATAAGAAATCTAAACCATAAACTATAATATTATAAAGAGGTAAAGTTTGTATGTAGGGGGTAATCTTTGGAACCACTGGTCGGATTGCCAAAATTATTTCACTGGTAAATAGCTACATTGTTCCTGAGTGCTATAGGCTATAAAACATCACGCTACGATTAAATGTAGCCGAGCAGCGGGTGAAACCGCGCGGGAGCAGCTAGTATAGTATAAATTTCTTTGATTCGATTTGCATAGTAAACTTAAACTACACTTAGCTATTGATAAAGTACTTAACTTAGTAAGTATGTATGTTCAAGAAATGGGAAATCTTGAAGTTTTGAAGCAGATATCTTCAGTCGATAGAGATGTTTTTTATAAACTCGTTTAGTTTGCAGGACTATAAACGCAAAAGTGTTCGTATTTACAAAGAAACAAAAAAAAATACTGTAAAAAAGGACCCATGATTTATCTCGGGACTTGTTGGTTTACAGATTATTAATATAAAGTATTTTTTTCTTACTTAGGTTAAAACCTATTTATACACAAAACTCTAAGTTCCACGCATTGTAGTGATGTCCCTGCATTGTAGTGACTTCAGAAATGTCCCATCACTTAATATATAAGGCAGTCAAAATACATTACTCTATCAATTTGAACAGTTCACAGAATATACAAGTATCTAAGCATTTCCCTCTTGAAAACTATAATAAGTGAACAAACATAATGAATGTACCTATCTAACATCGTGTTGTAATCAAAGTAAATAAGTTAAACGCATACTTGACACAGTTGCAGGTTTCCAAGTAAACTAGCACGTCAATGGGAACATTAAGGCTTCATGTATGTAAGTTCTTGCGTGGAACCGAATGTGGCAACAGCAAAAAATTATAGACTATTTATTTATTTATTATGCCATTTATTTTACTGAAAATGGTTGTTTATATCGTTTTCGGTCTGGCATTTGTTATCTGTGTAGGATTTCTTTTTAATTCGGCGATTTAATATACATACTGGGCTGAGTTAATTTTAGGACTTGTAGAAGCCAGAGTTGTCAAAGATCATAAAGATAAGGTTTATTGAAGGAGGTCTATGTAGTTAGTGGTTGTATCTCTGAGGTTTCATTCGTGTTGAATTCAATGTTTTACTTTTTAAATGACAACAAATGGTAGTAAGACATAGATACGATACGACCTTCATATTATGAAGGCATCAGCTGGGCAAAGCGTTAAAATAAAATTTGATCGAAATGGACGTAAGGAGGTTTGGCATTTTACCATTTTCTTAACAGAGAATAACTCATATATTATGTATTTGACACTGGCGTATAGCTACGATTATCATAGAAGGTAATTCATATTTTCCCAAGCCGACGTGACTAATCTGAATCGGTGTCGCTAGAGTTTTCCTTTTACGTAGAAACTTTACACATAATTAGAATAAAATTAATGAAAACTTTCAAATGAATTCAATTCGTAAGGAAATAGGTCAGACGAATCACACATAGCCTACTAATACAAAGAAATATCGACCTTATGAAATAAGTAATTTGGTTATTTATTGTATTTATAAAGGGTTTTGTCTGCAATGTAAACATACTACCTACATTTTTATTTTGAAGGGAATATCAACACATTTCTTCTTCCGGAAAATCCACCCCATACCCAGTGGAGTAAGAGCTTCAAGCAGCCATCATCTCATCATCATCAGCCGAAAAACGTCCACTGCTGGTCAAAGGCCTTCTCCTTCCCTCCACGTTGAACGACAAGTTGCCACCTGCATCCATTGGCTCCCCGCGACTCTGGCGATGTCATCGGTCCACCTAGCGGGAGGCCTGCCTTCGCTGTTTTCCGGTCCGGCACTTTTTGGGCCCATCGCCCGTGCGTCCTTCGAGCGACGTGGTCAGCCCATTGCGATTGGTCCACCACCATTTCAGTGTAGTGATTCAGAGCGATGCACGAGACTTGTCTACACGTTATCACGATTATACTTAGATACATCCATCGACGTCGTGATAATCAATGTTCTATTTTAGTAATTCTTAGTAGGTAAGTAGCATAGGCTCGACTTTATTACTTGTGCCAAGATTTCTTATTCATATTCATCTTTGGAACGAACGTTATTTCCTGCTTCATTCTGCTACAAACTGGATGATATAGTGATACATTTTATAATTAATCGTTGTCCCATTTACTATTTATATTTATCTGTCTACCAACCTATATGTATATAAATGAATTTCAAAGTTTTTTTGGTAAGCATGTAACTTAATAATGCCGGGACCAATTTTGCCAACTCTGTTTTATTTATGGAAAGTTCTTATGAAAGAACATTATAGAGAAATAGGGAGGAAAATTAGAAAAATCTTCATCTCTTTCGACATTAGAGAAGTAGTTGGACATGGACACGTAAGAAGCAGGGACGGGCCACTAGTTTCTTATATGTCATCAATTGTAAAAAAAACACAATAAATGCAAGGCTATAGAAATAAAATGTATTAGTACACTCGACCTTATCTGTCTCTGAAACAAAAGAAAAAATTAATCGATCAATTTCTAATTGAACGAGTAAAAAATGTTTGAATTTGGCAATTTATTTCAAGTGCATTCGTCAAGCCGGCAGTGAAGGTCGCCAGAGATTTGAGAGTGTGGCAGATAGCCGAGGAAAATTTAATTTATATTACTGCCGTAAACAACCGGGCCCTATATTATAGTGCAATACAAGTAGAACTAAAAGGATGATTCATTTTGGAGATGCATAATGTTACAGAATTATTCTAGTGGCTCATCATTTTGACGATTAGGTAAAAAAAGTCAAAATAATTTATTTCGATTAGACCCTTATAGGCACTTTTGCACGTCAAATAATATAAAGTGTCAGTCTGTCGGTCAGTCCTCTTAGTGAAGCTATTTGCTTGTTCCAAAGTGTAGATTCCGATGGAGAAAAACGAGCTAGAAACGTCATGGTTACTCTTTTTAAATCAGTGTCACATAAAGATTCTTTAATACATTATTTATAGTATGAGATATGAATACTAATTCCAAGGAATTTCAAGATGACCTTTGTTTATTATCCTGAATACTTCAGCGATGTGATATATATTATTATAAATCATCACGTCCTTTAATTTGTTGTATGGTTAGCAGAAGTGCTCAAATGAAAAGGAACAACTATTTTATCTGGTATGCAATAAGTATTTTCCTTTTCACACAGTTATATAGATGAGTATATCAGCTAAGGTTGCAGTTTCAAGAGCTATAATGCACCGCGATCCTGACCCGGAGAAAGGGAAGGAACAGGTTAATAGTTCAGTAAGAACTGGACACTCCCTCTCACTCCACCTGGGCGAGAGAATACACATAATGATTTCCGAAGCCCACAGTTATAAATGGCTGTTTTGAGAAATTAAGAAGGTCACATACACTACTCATAGTAGGTACCTACATAGTCGGAAAATGCTGAGAAACTTTACACACAGCTGCCAACAAAAATAAACAACTATATACCTGCCTAGAC